CATTCATGGATGCGATGAGGTGGATCTGTTGTTGGTTGTGGTTGAGATGTGTGATGAGAGCGGCGGGATGCGACGGCAGAGAGTGCTGCTTCGACATAAATGCAGCCTGAATGCGACTGCGGGTTGTGCTGTCCGTAAATGTGAATGATATAGTCCACACTCCTATATCTATATCCTCTGAATCAAATCAGAAAGTATTATCTATATCCGAAAGAGAGCGTGGGAAGAGTGCGCGACTCCACGAGAGTGAATGCGGAATCAAAATCACGCGCATCGACTATATTAAAAATAATAAATAAAAACATTAGCAAATAATTATTCCCAGCATTCAATAACTCTATAAATGGTCGCTACATGGGTTGAAAAGAACGACTATAAAGAATGCTTGCCACCCTGTGTGTCGTCGTCTGATAAAAGTTTCTTCCATTATTCAATTTTGGCAAACAAACGGGAAACCTTCAATTTATTTCTTCATACAATCAGTACACAACATTCTTAGTAGATCATACAATGTTAATACAAAATAACAATATTTAAGATTATTTAATCCAGAAAATTTTTCAATTAGTTGTAAACACACTCGCAACGTCAACATCACTAGTCATGGATTGAAAAATATATTTCTTTCCCTCATCTTTTAAAGTAATTTCGGCCTGGGTATATCCCGAATCAGGGGTAGACGATTCAAGTCGTTTCACCGCGATTTCCTTCATATTCATCTTCAATAACAGCTAATTTAAAGAATCGGTATTAGTACAATCCAAACCACAAATCAACAAGTTGAATGACATGACGAGAAATGTGGTAACTTACCTTGCCGTATTTAGATTTAACGTAGCAAACGTTGGCATTCGAAATAATACAGACTTCCACTTCGTCCCATTGAGACATGAATTTTTGCTCCTGAGCAATCATATTGTAGAAAGAGACCTGAACGAACGATGCATGAGTAAACGATCAAGTTATTTCTGTTTGTATGGAGGTTGATATTGGAAGAAAAAGTCACCTTAGTATCGATAATATTTTTGCCTTTCACGCTTTTATTCGATGTGGCCGTTACGGTCCCTAAATTGTGTACAAAAAAGTGACAATTGCACCGTCAAGTTGTCCATGTCAGCAAAGAAAGACAACAGACTCCCTAGATCAAAGCCACAATAAAGTCGATGACTTACCACTTAACTTTCCACCTGTCGTGGTTGTTTTACTGAATGCAACGGACTGTAAACCTAGTTTGGTGTCCTTTTCAGTATCGTTACCATTGTCAGATGATCGCAACACTATCAAAATACGGTTCCAGAAAAGGATCGTAACAATTGCGTAACCGCTCACAAGGATGAGTGAAGATTGTAACACATATCGGGTTTGGATATCCACAGAGGGTAAATAAGATACGGGTAAAATGACTAAACATCCAATCGTTACAATGTAAACTGTGGCACTTAATGCTAAGGTTTCGTTGTACAATTGAAACGCGATTTTTCGGATCCGGGTAGAAAGAATAACAGACGTTATAATCAGTAATCCATTGTAGATGTATAAACTGATAGACATGCTAGCATTAGCAGTAGAAGAGCAAGACCAGTAGGTGCCGCTTCCGTCGACTAAAGAAAGAACAACTGGTTTAGGGTAGTCCCAGACAGTCCATACGATGATGAAAAGCTAAACAGGGGCATCATTAGATAAGGAATCTCCTCTGGTGGACGATAGAGGTAGCATCAATGAAAAATGTAATCAACATACCATTTCAACACAAATGATAGTCGCAGCCAAGTACATAGTGCTTCTGTCAAATGATGCATGAAGTTGTCGAACATTGTTGAATATGCGGTAAATCCTTGAGCTCTTCGCAATCAAACTTCCCCAAACTAAAGAGAATCCGAGAGGAAGAATCCAAATCTACAAGTCCAAAGATGAGTTAGTCACCTGAAATTAATATTTGGGAGTGCAATGGTGAGGGCTGCTGTTTATACCTGCAGAGCACAACTTGCAGCAGTGGGAAGTCCAGACATCAACCAGATAGTAGAAGTGCTAAGCAACACGCCACTGAGTATAAATAAACAAAAGCCGATGCTTAAGGCCTTCACGGGTCTATAGTTTCTGTATCGATATAACAGTGCGGCAGTGACGAAGATAAGTGCGTAAAGAACAACAGCCAACGACGAAATCGCGGTAACGGTAGTGGCAGAAGTCATACCAGCACCAACGTAGTCGGCATTTGGGCTCCTGATAACCTGTAGGGTAAATGGACTGCCGGATACGTGTATACCTCTGTACATAACATTGACACTGTGTGATCCGGCATCGGAGAATTTGTAACGAACTGTAATGTTGCCGTCAGACGTGGTATTGACGGATTGGACAAAATTTGATACTGCACGGTCGCGGAAAGTGGCAGTAATGGTTAAATCTTCGCCTGTACCATTTGTGAGCTCAAGGAAGGTATTTCGCAAGGTGACAGCAATTGTGTTCTCGGTATCCATATAGCATTTGGTGTCATTCAACACTACGTACGATGCTAAGGGGTTTGGTTCGGAGCCGTCCTTAGGAATGCCTGTGTGACCACCTTCAGGAAGGCGAAAAAACAAGTATGTCACTAAAATTAGTCGCATTGACAAGATGAGAATGACTGATAACAAACCTGGCCAGACGATGGTCGAGTCGTTTAAACCTATTTGGCCTTGGGAAAATTGCACTAAGTGGGGTTGACCATTTCGCATGTTTGTCATGTTGAACAGAACCTGTCGATCATTCGTGACGTTGTCAAAAGTTATTGGACCGCTAGCACCGTTCATTTGAGTAGACTTAAGCGCAGATAAGAGTGCTGTACCATTGAGTGGATTTTGGAGGTTAGACAGAACTTGCTTCACTGCTTCAGCGTAAACGTAGACTGCGTCATAAGTATAAAGAGCTCCTTCAAGTGGTGTCGAATTATAAAGTGCCTGCCATTTTGTGTTAAGCTGCGATGTAACGGTGGATCCAGTTCCTGAAGTCTGATGAAGAATAGGTCAAAAACGGTAAAACCTGAAACGATGTTTACGTTGAAATGTATCTTTTACGTACCGACTCTGAACGTTTGCCCCTCATCAATCCCTCCCAATTGACGAGTTCCATGTCATCGGCCACGCTGTTGCTGGTAACTTCGGCAAATATCCATGCATATGGGCTCCCTTTGAGGCCATATTTTTGTGCATAAGTCGACATCATTGTCGTCCATTGAGCAATACCAAGATAAACAATTACGGTGACTTTTGACTGAACGAGTTGGCGAAACATAAAATCCCAATTAGTGTTGATACCGACTTGAAGTATAAGTCGGGTGGCTACACCATAAGGCAAAGTAGAAGAGATGAAAGTTTCAGTGGTGTAGGCCCCTACAGCACCGTCGTCGACAATTAAGGCGACATTCTTGAAACCAGCAGATCGAACAAAAGCAGCCAGGACTGAAATATTGAAATGATTAGTTCGAGTTCATATTTTGCTCAACGCGAAGTATGTCAATTTAAAACCACAAACATTTAGCTTCATCCAAGTTAGATGCCATCATTCTGAGGAGATAAGGCATGTATCGCTTGTTAGTCAACGCAGCTGACACAGGCACTAATAAAACGAACTATTAATACAAAGTTGGGGATGAAGGGGTTACATGACCGTCAAACACTTACTCGTCGCAACTATCGGTTTTGACAATGCTGAAGCCAGGACAGAAGGTCCTTGAGTTTCTCTGGACAAATAGGGGCCAACGTAACCAATTAGGTCGGAAGAAGCATTTTGATAAATATTGAAGACGGCTTTCGCGGCTTGCATCTCATCTCCGTCCGCAGAAGAAGCAGTTTGATTGACAAAACGAAAGGACCCATTGTAACGCGAGTCGTTGTTGATTTCGTCCAGAGCAATATCGAATGCTCGAACAGAGTCCACAACAATTTGGTCTGGAAGACCTAATGGGGCAATATACCCGAGCGTGAATTGCTGGGGGCCTTGAGCGTAAGCATTTTGCGGTAGTTGTCCTACCAGTATGGCAATATAAGGCAGTAGCAATGAGATTAATTTGCGCATCCTGTGTAAATTCCACTGTTGCGCGGATAATTTTCGCAGATGTCGGTCGTAACTTCGTACTTCGCGGCTTCATTTATGGAATTCACCATTCGTCGAATACAGTACATGATGGTCTTGAAATGATTACAACGGCTCAGTATTAAATTCGTTATGTTGGAGACTGTAGTATGTCGTGATAAGAAAACTTTTGATAGGCTCCTAAATAACCCCTTACTCTAATGCTCCTGGGCACACTCTACGTGGCCCCGACAGGCCCCGACCCTTGACTTCTCGAAAACTGAGAATTTGTCGTCATTCGTCGCGATAGAATTAACCAGTGGAAGATATCAAGGCATATTGAGACACTCGCAACAATTCGTTGCGCAGATGACGAGGTGTCTAGTCGGGACTCGGGAGGATTGAGAACAGAACAGAACAAAATACGACCCGCTGATAAGTTGATAAGCCCCTCTATATATACCTGATAATGAATATAGACGCCCCTTAACACGACGGGCCAGCGTCAGCATGCCCTGCACTGTGCTGAACTCATTGTGGTGGTCTCGGTCGTCAAGAATATTTTGCCACTGTTTATTGCAACGAGAGTCACCCATGGGCCTTCTACGCCATCGATAACAGGGAAACGTTAACGGGACCACCAGCAAACAGCGGCAACCCACAACTGTCCATCACCTCCGCATACCCCTCGTCAAGGGGGCATTAGTCTCACGATATTGAATTCGAGGCGGATAAATCATAGCATTGGAGTAAGGAGTCAAGTTGAACGACGACAATATTATCAACATTGTGTAGGCTAAAATGCATCGATGACCCAGCTGACGTAGTTTTGCGTCATTTATTACAGATTACAGAACGCTGGCTCGTTGTGCCAGCTTATTGTAAGATTCTTCATTGAACTGGCATAAAAATATTATAATTTTACAACGGTGTCGAGTTGTCCGTCAGCATAAGTAGTATAGCGGTAGAATACTTGCCTTCCAAAGATTATTCTGGTTGAAAGCAAGTGGCCGGGGTTCGACTCCCCGCTTATGCAATGTTTTGTCATTAGTGGCAGTTCACTTTTTGGGTCAGAAGAGTATTTATTAATTTATGTTCATAATACTCCTAAATGGAGATTCGGATCCTTAGAAGGATCGATAAAGACAGTTTGCTATGTCTTTATAGTAATAGTACTCTGCTCTTTTCGACTACCCATCGGATTGGAGCAGAGTATTTCACATTGTAAAGCAGAGAGGGGGATATATATCTAGAGAGACATATTGATCAGCCAGCATCACCATGTGTATATCATCGCAAAGATATAATATATCTAGGATTATAATATGTGGCATGGCGTGTCGAGCGAGAATTCGTTCCCAGTGGACATTTGGCATTCCCTCCGCATCATTCGCAACACAACTATTATCACTGAGTAAGTTGGATTGATTCCAGTTATATAAAAGACAACTCCGGATACATATCGCACATACATTCGACAGATACATACATCCACTCTAATTTATATCTAGATAGACTGTCCGCAACCATGACAGACCCGCTCCTCCCCGCTCACAGAAAGCGTCCACTCAACAACACATCCGACCAACCTCGCAAAAAGCCAAATCCCTCCATCCTCTCATACTTCTCTGCCAACCCTGCTGCTGCCACCAAAGACGACAGCCCCTCCCTGAATGAAAATGAAAATGAAAGCGAAAACCGTCCCTCTGCGTCGCTGACCGATTCCTCCATCGTACCGCCCTCCTCTGAATCACAACCTCCCGCTACCAAGAAGCAACCTAAAATTCCAAATGCCTCCGAGGTGCTGAAACTCGAAATGGAAACTATGGGAAACGACTGGTTCAACACCTTTCTCGTCGAAATGGAGAAATCCTACTTTATCAAAGTACGCTTCGTGATAGGGTGTTACAATCACTTCGTGTCCTTCTTGCTCTCACAAAAACATCTGGGCTTCACTAATTCCGACTTAAACTCTGGTATGCTTGTTGTAGATAAAGTCGTTTCTCCTCAAAGAATGGAAAACAAATACCGTCTACCCCCCTGCGAACGACATTTACACTTTCACCAGATCCTGCCTCTTGAAGGACGTTAAAGTCGTCATATTAGGACAAGGTATCATCAGATTATCTCACAGCACTTTCTTGTTGTTTGAAAACATCCTCAGGAATCTCATTCTGACGTACCGAACCCAATGTTATACAAACAGATCCTTATCACGGACCCGGACAAGCGCATGGACTTTGCTTCAGTGTCAAAAAAGGAGTTGCTCCTCCTCCCTCTTTGGTCAATATCTACAAGGAACTGAAAAATGATTTCCCAGATTTCAACATTCCCTCCCACGGTATGTTTCTTGCACTTTTTATTGCTCCCTCGACCATAATCGTCCCTTCCTCCGACTGGCTTCCTTTGTTCTTTATTACACCCTTCTCATCGTAGTTGTTAACAGTCCCCACGATTTAGAACATATAATGCTAACTTGCTATTGTAATCCTTTAATTGAATAGGATGTCTTGAAGGTTGGGCAAAGCAAGGTGTCTTGCTTTTGAACGCGTCTTTGACCGTGAGAGCCCGGAATGCCAATTCTCATTCAAGTAAGTTTTACATTCGGTTTCATATAATAAAGCTAAAAATGTATCTCTGTCCTCATACCTATACCACTAAACGCATTTTTCCCTAACCAATTTTTTCCGCCATTTCGTTGTTTTTTTCCCTCACGCCTTTATTCCTTCATTATTAAATAAAAGATATCGGATGGCAACAATTTACCGATTCAATTATCGCTTACTTAAACAAAAATCACAAAGGATTGGTCTTCATGTTATGGGGTGCATACGCTCAAAAGAAGGGTCAACAGATCGATAAAGTACGTTCTACCTTGCAAACCTTTCTTCCCCTATTCTGATCCCCCTTCCATCTTATCTACGTCAAACTCTAACGTGCCTCTAATCACACCATTAACTTATCCTTTTTACGTAAAGAAAAAACACCTAGTCCTTCAATCTGTCCATCCCTCCCCGTTATCGGCCCACCGAGGCTTTTTTGGATGTCATCATTTCTCCAAAGCCAATGCGTATCTGAAGAGTCAGGGTAAAAAGGAGATTGATTGGACTGCGTTGTAAATCATTTAGTAATATTTAATTACATACTTTGGGCTCCTTTCTATGTCGGATGACGAGGTTAGGTTGTGGGATTGTAAAGTGGTAAAATTATTGCTCAGAGTGAAAGATATGAAGAAGATAGAGTGTAGTGAAGTGGTGTATTTAGATATTATATATTATGAATGTATATTATTTTATGTATCCAAACGATGTTGAATTTTCCTTCAATTTTGTCGAATTAATTGATATCGTGCCTCTACTACTTTGAGTTACCGCATTTTGTGATCAATAAATGGATAATTGTTGACTTCCGTACATTTCGTTTTACTGTTGGCCCAACCTGGAAATGATAGCTATTCTCTTTAAAACGCCGGAATTCAAATTCTAGGAATGTCTCTACTAAATTTCTTTACTTTGACAACGTGTAGACACGAATCCATTAACAGCAATGCGAAAAAACCGGTACCAGTAGTTTAGTGAAAAGGAATAAGCGCCATTCTCTTAAAACTTCATAAAAAAATTTTGACCTACTGGCCTAACTCTTCACGCTTCCATCGTGTGCCAGATCTGTCGAAATAGTCGTCTTACAGCCCCGGAAATTCGGAATACTAATAACTTTGTTTCTGATTGTCCAAGCGCGTTGGGTGTCCTGTAATGGCACAATCGGATGTAAAATGGAAATGGGCTGATACAAAGATGGAACGACATCCATTGGTGACCATTATTATATTGTTCATTACAAATATGCTCTTCTACAAATGCATCGCAATCTTTCTCGTTTCCACTGTAGTCGTCTGTCTCCTCAGCTAAACGTTTGCCTCAAAAGCCATGTTCGTCGAGATAAACAAACTCGAACTTTGGTCCAGCCGTGTAAACGTTATTATCCTCAGATTTCATAAGAGGTTATTAGCCAGACAGCGTTTCCTACTGGATGATAAATCGCCAGACTTGAAGGACAGCTTGAAACAGCTTTTAACAGCTCCTCAGTATGAATCATTTCAGCGACAGCCTGGCTTCAAACAATTAGTTCTTGCCTGCATCGAATGGAGGCACAAATGGGCACACCAGCAAATAGTCACGGTAAATGGTCACATAAGTTTATTGAAGGACTTTGACAGACTGGCGCATCGGTTGAAGTTCAACAATATTTCATTCGAGATCCAGATGATATTCTATGGCCGAGATGTATGGTGCGATCATCCGCAGACGCATAAGCCTGCTCAAATAATAGCTAAAAATATCATTTGGCCTAAATTTGCTGCATTGATTGCAGCTTTTCTTGCAGGAGCGTTGTTTGCGATATTTCGCCTAGATGATTCCGACACCGCTAATTCAATATAACAGCATATAGTCTAATTTTTCTTCTATCAGGGTAATATTGTAATATTATAGAATTATTATCAGACAATCCTTGTATTTTCTTTCTGTTCTCGAAGGATGCTTTGATTCCGAGAACCAATTGTGCGCTGTACATTGGAGTAACTAGGGAAGCGAGACAGAAGCAATGCTACCATTAATAAAAAAGAAATCATTAAAAAAACGCAACTGTCGATATTATGTGCAATCAATGATGTGAGGAATTCAAGCTGAAATTAGTGCTTGAATGCACCCACATAAAGTGATATTTATTTTGATTGAAGTTTAACGTTGTAACAAGAACCAATGGATAGTCGTAATTTTGCTTCACCAGCGTCATTAAACATAACATCAAGTCATTTCAGCCGACATCAAGTACAGCTTCAAGATTCTATCACCACCCAACGGAACTGAACCCTAAAATGTCCTGCCGAGAAGATCATCAACATTCAGGTTGCTCTCACGATCACCATAGCCATGGCCACGGACACGGCGGTCATGATCATTCTGACGATAAAACCGGACCCGAACGAGGGGACGAGGCCTCATTGTATAGGTTTATTGATATCCATAATGTGAGATGTTTAAATGAAAGTGTGCCTGATAGTGGAAAAACAGTGATAAAACCTTTCGAAAATAGGTTGGATGAGACGAAGGTAAAGTTTGAAATCGACTTAAGTTTGGTTTTACGATTTTGTGATGGACCTTCCAGTATAAGCATGGGCAGGAATTCTTCATCATCTGAGATATTGAGAGATAACGGTTATCTGATTCCTTCTTTTTTTTAAATTAGTTCGTAGAAAGCGATTGTGACGAACAACTCATATTTTATATCCCGTACGAAATTTATCTATTGCTGCCTTTCTCTCCTCCCAATTTTGGATTAACATCTTCGATAGGTTCACTGGCAATGTAAAATTGAAATCTATAGGAATTAGAGGTGGTCCAGAAGGGTTCAGTCCTCGGACGATTAAATTGTACGGGGCTTCTATTCGTTTTTGTCGTCATTACACTTGAGCGGATTCTAACGATTCGCTGCTTTACATTTCTACTCATAACAAAACATCACAAACATAATTATTTCAATGATCTTTATTATTTCTAAAAGATTCGCAAACCACGATCACTTAGATTTTGATACCGTCGAATCCACTCTCCCCGCCCAATCCATCGACTTGATCGACCCAGCATCTCAAATCGCTGCTTTCTCTACTTCGTCGTCATCAAGAGATGGAAATGGTGGTGGAGATGTTATTTGGTATAATACGAAGATAGCAAAGTTTACTAATATCCGAAATCTATGGGTTTTCGTGGAGAATAATTATGGAGAGGATGTGACCAAAATCTCTTATTTGGGGTTCAGAGGAGAATGGAGTGAGGTATGTTGTTATTACGAATACAACTTGGTGATGTTTTTAGTGTTTAGTTACCAATTAATTGACCTATTTTGCTTGTCAGTTCAATCGAGACCCAATAATCACCATTTACGAAGCTGCTCCAAACCCAGCGGATCATCAAACTGAGGTCAATGATGTGCTTAAAAGTAACCACTTAGTGTAGAGATACATTAAACGTAAACTCG